CAGCAGGTGCCCCACGTGCAGCGAGTCCGCCGTGGGGTCGAAGCCGCAGTACACGGTCTGCGGAGGGCCGCCCGCCGCGAAGAGCTCGCTGAGCTCCACCCGCGTGCCCCGCTCCGGGAAGAACTCCTTGAAGAGGCCCCGGCTCTTCTGCGCCGCCAGGAATCCCTGCCTGCCCGAGTGCGCCGCACGCCGGCCCGGGGCGGCGGACCACCACCGGCCCCGAGACAGGCGCCGCCACACGGGCGCCGCCATCTTGGCAGCAGCGCGCCGGGGGATGCTGGGTCGTCGGAGACCCGGCTCCTCCCTAACCGCGCCCTTTCGTACTTCCGCATCTCTCCGCGCGTGTTAGCCGAGGGGCGGAGCTTGCGCAGTCGGCACTTCCGCTGTAGGCTGTCTCCCGCGGTTGGACTCTCGGGGGTGGCCCCGCCTCGCCGGTCCGGAAGGTCCCGGTGCCCCAGGGCGCCACTTCCGGCTGTGGTGCGGGGCAGTCCAGCACGTGAAACTCGGAAGCGCTCTGCAACCAATTGGCTTCTCTTCGCGCGTTCCCGCACCGAACATGGTGGGGATGTGGTTCTGAGCGGCACGGTCGCCGAGGGAGCTTGTGAACGCCGGGAGCTGGGGTTGCCCGGCAGGACTCCGTCCCCAGCCCTCGGCGTCTCTTAGGTTGTTCCAGGAGGTGGCAGCCTCGTCCAAGCTATAGCAGACACTAAGCTAAAATTCCGAAACCATTTACGTGTGTGTGTGTGTGTGCGCGCGTGCCGCCGGTGCTCAGGACCTGGTTGCTGTTCTGAGTTTTTTCACCCAGAGCTGGTGTTCACCTCCATTTCCAGCTATTTTGGCAGTTCATTAGATGGCTTGGAGCCACGATCCTCACTACTTCAACCCCCTGAGTGAGTAGCTAGGGTCACAGGTGTGAGCCACACAGCCTAGGATGGATTCAGATCATCAGGGCCCTAGTAGACCAGGCGCGCCTGGGATGTGGCTCTCCTTGGCGGCTCTCCAGCAAGTGGACCAGCTGCAAAATTCTACCGCAGACTGGCTGATTCCTGGGGCCTTTCTTAATACCAAGCAGCTCAGGTCTGATTTCCTGGATTCTGTCTTGGAGCTTTATGTGCAGGATGATTGGCCTGTACTATCGATGAACACTTGTGTGAGGGAAGGGAGGTGGGGAAGAGACAGATTGGAGCCCTCTGGTGATGGATCTTCCTATAGAGTTGGGATTTCCTTTCAGGATCATCTGAAGCCTGAAGCAATGGGGAGGCCATTGTACACTCTTATTGACTGGTCATTAAATGTGGGATGACCTTGGAGAGAAGACCAAACTATGCGCAAGGCTCTAGAGGAGGGCCATGTACAGAAAGGGGCTCATCTGTGAGCCATCAACAAAACGCCAGCAACTGGGGGTCCTGGTATAGGGTTCTTCTAGACCACACCCCATACAGGATCTTTCACTTCTTAACGCTAAGTTTTTTTTTTTCTTTTGGCCTGACATGGGGCTTGAACTCTGGGTGCTGTCCCTCAGCTCTTCAGCTCAAGGCTAGCGCTCTACCATTTGAGCCACAATGCCACTTCCTGTTTTCTGATGATTTATTGGAGGTAGAGTCTCACGAAGTTCCCTGCCATGGCTGGCTTTGAACCATGATCCTCAGATCTCAGCCTCCTGAGAAGCTAGGATTACAGGTGTGAGCACCATCAGTGCTCAGCAAGATAAGTTAAAAAAAAAAAAAAAGGGAGCTGGGAAGGTGGCTCAGTGATGGAGCACTTGCCTTGCATGCATGAGGCCCTGGGTTCGATTCCTCAGCACCACATAAGCAAAAGGAAAAAAAAGCAGGAAGTGGTGCTGTGGCTCAAGTGGTAGAGCGCTAGCCTTGAGCTGAAGAGCTGAGGGACAGCATCCAGACCCAGAATTCAGACCCTATGACCGGACCCCAAAAAAATTATAAAAAAAAAAAAACAAAACAAAAACTAGCCAGGTGTGGTGGCTCACACTGGAAGCTGAGATCTGGAAGATCAAAGTTCAAGCCAGTCCAGGCAAAAAGGCACTGGAGAAGCAATCAGCTTCTGGAGAACCAAATAAAAGATTAGGCAAAGCCAGGCACCTGTAGCCCATGCCTGTAATCTTAGCTACTCCGGAGGCTGAGATGTTAGGATTGGGGTTCAGAGCCAGCCTGAGCATGAAAGTCTGTGAGATTCATCTCCAATTAACTAACAAAAGCCAGAATTAGATTTGCTTGATTTTTTAAAACTTTATTTAAAAACTCAGAATCTGAACGTTTTTACAGGGGAACATTTTATTCACAGGCTTTGGGTCGATGTGACACATACCTGTCTGTGGATTTAAAGGTATCTTAGCAACTTTCTACTGGAAAGTATGACTTCATACTGTGGTTTAATGACTCAGTTACTGCAGGAAGTCCTACTTCTTACAAAAGTATGTACCACAGGTGCCAGTGGCAGTAATCCTGTAATCCTAGCTACGCAGGAGGCTGAGAACTGGAGGATCTCAGTTTGAAGCCAGCCTGGACTAGAGACTTCACCTCCAGTTAACCAACAAAATGACAGACTGAAGGTATGGTTCAACTGGTAGAGTGCCAGCTATTAGCATAAAAGCTGAACTTGAGTATGAGGCTCTGAGTTCAAGCCCATTATACACACACATACTGCAGAATTGTGCTTGTTTGCTTATTATTTAACAGTATTTTTGTGTGTCTGTGTGTGTATTCCAGTCCTGGGCCTGAACTCAGCCTGGTTGCTCTCTCTGAGCCTTTTAGGTCAAAGCCAGTGCTTTACCACTAGAGCCACAGCTCTCCTTCCAGATTTTATTAGTGCTTAATTGGAGATAAGACGCTTGTAGAGGGTTGGGAAGTTGGCTCAGTGGTAGAATGCATGAGGCCCTGGGTTCAATTCCTCAGCACCAAATAAACAGAAAAAAGCCGGAACTGGCGCTGTGGCTCAAGTGGTAGAGCACTAGCTTTGAGCTGAAGAGCTGAGGGACAGTGCCCAGGCCCAGAGTTCAGCCCCCATGACCGGGTCAAAAAAAAAAAAAAGAGTCTTGTAGACATTCCCTGCCCAGGCTGTCTTTGAAGCTCCAGCCTCATATCTCAGTCTTCTGAAAAGCAAAGGTTATAGGTGTGACTCATGGGTGCCTGGCTTATTTATTTTTGCAGTACTCATGGCCTTACTCATGCTAGGCAAGAGGGCTCCCTCTCACCTACCTTCCCAGCTCAATATATCCTCTTCTTAGCAGTCCAGAGGGCCGTCATCTTGTAGGTGGGGCCCTCTACCACTAGAGCCACACCCTAGGTCTGCCCTGCCCTTGTAAAGAATCTGTGTTGCTGATCCCAATTCAAACAAGTCTAACTCCCATTCTACATCTCTTTTCCATGGCTGACTTAAGCAATGACTAAGAGCCCAGGTCTTCCATTGGATTTCCCTTAGCCGAGATCACCAGCTGCTGATTTGCTATCAGTGAACTTGGTCTAGGTGCTTGAATTCCCACCTTTGATCTGCTTCCTCAGGATTTGCTGGGTTTCCTAGGAAGTGGCTAGGCATTTGAATTTGTATGGTATATCTTGGGGACATGTGCCTTTGTTCTGTTCTGTGAGAGCTGAGCCTTGTCAACCTTTACCCGGCACTAGCTGCTTTATTGGACTTGCTAGGGCTCAGATCAGAGGCTAATCTGAGCTGAGCAGAAGCTGAGGATCATAAAGAAACGTGAAGACAGACACAGATAACATCTCAGCTCCCTCCCTCCCATCTTGCCTTCATTCTTCCTTCCCTCTTCTTTCTTCAACAGTCTCACTGCAAAGCTCAGGGTAGCCTTGGAGGCATGATCCTCCTGCCTCTCTCCTATTCTTGAGTGCTGGGATTACAGGCATGTGCTACCCATGCTGGGCTCAAATCCATTTCTTGCTGGCTGACTGTGAGCAAATGGTTTTAAGACATTTTGAGTTTCCAGGGTTTTCATCTAAAAATACACACACAATAGTGCCTGTTGGCATGATTGAATTGACAACATGAATGTGTAAAGGTTGACCAAATCTGTACACTCTCTTTTGGCTCCACTTTGCAACCACTGTTTTGTTTTGGTCAGTCATGGGGCTTGAATTCTGGCCCTGGGCGCTGTTCATTAGCTCTTCAGCTCAAGGCTAGCACTCTACCATTTGAGCCACAGCACCACATCTGGCTTTTTTCTGCTTATGTGGTGCTTAGCAATCAAACCCAAGGCTTCATGCATGCAAGGAAAGCACTCTACCACTGAGCCACCTTCCCAGCCCTGCAACCGCCTCTGTCTGATGTTCTCCATGAGTGCTGACACCTGTTGTGCCTCTGAAAGATACCAAGGGAACAGCCAGGCCTCCCTCTCCTCTCTCACTCTTCATCATCCTGAGTGAAAACAGGGAAGCATTCTTCAACCCCCAGTTGGGGCGTGGGCCAGCCAATCCTCTCCCCCTCAGTAGAGGCAGGGGCTCCTGGCTGTGGTGCCAGGCAGCTCCCTCCTCTTAACTGTCAGAAATGGCCTTGAACAATGGTCCTGCTGGCTGTAAGATGTGGGTTTTCAGCAGAGAGTTCAACTTAGAGCTCACACACCCACTATCCCTAATAATTACCTTCGCCTTTCATAACAGCCTAAGTGGAAGCAGATTCAAAACTGTTCTTTCCAATGTTTTTTACGTGTAGAAGGCCAGTAAATGTTAATTCACAGACCCAGAGACAGAATCCATGGAAATCAGACTTGGTGTGCAAAAAGGCCAAAAGGAAAAGAAGTACACTTGTTTGTTCACAGCAAGTATTCAAAGGGAGGAATTTTCTTGCTGTGTGCCTGACTCAAAAATGTTACTGTTCTTTTGGGAACACTTTCCACATCTGACTACCATGATGAAGATTGCTTTCTGCTAATTTTTTGTTTTAATTAAACACATTCTTTAAACCTTTCATTAGTGGCACAGTTCTGAGTCTGACTAAACCAAATGATTCTGTTTTAAGTTTTTAAATGTTCCTGAATTGTTTGATTTCACTTTTTGAATTCTCTTCAGAAGTTCCCCAATTTAGTGGGGCATAGATTGCAAGCCTGCAATCCTATCCACTCATGAGGCTGAGATCTGAGGCTCAAGGTTCAAAGTCAGCCTGAGCAGACAAATTTGTGAGAGGCCCATCTCCAATTAACCAGCAAAAAGCTAGAAGGGGAGATGTGGCTCAAGTGGTAATGCATCAGTCTTGAGTAGAATAAGCCAAGTGGGAGCAGGAAGCCT